GAGGGCGGAGGACAGCCAGACTCCACCTCCCTCCCAGGGCCGCTGAGCACGGCTCTGCCATCTGAGCGTCTTCCTGACAGGCGAGACAGAAAATGGAGAGACCGAGATGGAGGGATCACCCCTCCTCTCCTCGGCCTGTCCCCCTACGCAGAACGGCACCTTGCCGACGGGTGGATGCCAGCGGCGCATCCCCTGCCTCACCGAGGCGCCGGCCAAGCGGAGCAGCTTGCCAGGAGATGCAGTCCCGGCCCGCGGCACTTCTCCCAGCCGGCACCTGCCTCATGCTGTGCTGATGGCGAGTGGGAGAGCTGGGAACAAAAGGGGCGAGGCGGCTTAGGAGCCCCCCGCCCCGGCCGATGGTTTTGGATGCTCAGCATGGATCCTCCCGCCAGCCTGGCAGCCGTCCCTGGTCCAGGAGGGAAGGACAAAGGAGCTGCCCTGCTGCTTCCTTGCTGCTGAACGCTCCCCAGCTTTTGTGTCCTCCTTCCCAGGAGCTCCCACGCCCGCAGCTAGATGTCTCTGGCTCCCACCAGCACCCATGCACCAGAGCTTGGTCCCTGGCATGGACAAGGCTCCCCAGGGCCACTGCTCCCTTCACTGCCTGCCTGGACAGTTAAGCTCCCGTGGGAAATTTCACCAGCTCAGGTTTAGCAATGCTTGCAGACATCGGGGAGATGCCTCGGGTACAGGAAACGCTGTGGGTTGAACACCCAGCGTCCCAGGAGCTGACTGCGATTACCTGTTGTTCGTCAAGCCAGGGAGCAAACACCAAGCTGCCCAGGTCCCAGCCCATCCCAGGAACCACAGGCCCAGAGTCCTGGGCAATGCCATCTCCATTTCTGTCACCAGCTGCTGCTCTGCCTCCACCTCCCACCACTGAGAATCTCCTTCATAAAGTGCAAAATTAAAACCCAGCCCTTCATTAAGCCTCCAAGGCCCAGGCCCAACTATAAAAAATCATACCAGCTTTTTTGTTCCTGGACCACCACAGCAGAGCACAGCCTGTAGCCATTAAGTTTCTCTTGGATGTTGTTGCCCCACAGCCAGCAATAGCAACAGCATCTCAAATGTGTTTTTTTCAAGACAGATAAAGGATTTGGGCATTTCTCTGCAAAATTGTTAAAGGTTAGATTATTCTGAACTGCTTTGAACAAGGGAGCCTTGCAACACCCAGACCTGCTGCCTGTTGTCACTGCAGGGCAGCAGTGCCCGGGCCAAAGCTGTTCAGTGAACTCCCTTGCTGAGAAACCAAACACCCAGACAACCCCACAGGCCATGGTCACGGGGGCCTCACTGTTCAGGATAAAAGCCCTAGAAAAAAATGCAACTGTGGCTGCAGATAAGCCATGAAATCCCATCATCACCTCAGGTCCGTCCTGCTCCGCTGTTTCCATGGTGGGTGTACGCCAGCATTGCCCAGACCGGGGGGCACCCACAAACTGAAATGTGTTTGCGCTATGCAGAGTCAACACAACGGGCACAGAGGATTATGGATGAGGTTATGGATTTGCCTTGACCAAACCTCAGTGGCAGAAGAGCTGTCCCGCTCCTTGCAGGGCGAGTGCCAGAGGTCTGCTGAGAAACCAGAGCAGCAAAAGGCGGAAGGGGCCTTTCATACTGGAAAAAGTGTAACTATAAAAACTGCAAAACCAGTATTTTTCTTTTTTCCTGATGTGTATTGGGAGGAAAGCAACAAAGCCCGTCTGTCAACAGCAGCTGAAGCACAGAAGTCTCTTAGGTAGAGCCAGAGAACACATTGCTATCTAACGTATTAAGTGCACACAATACACAACCAGTGTTTATAACATCCAAAAACGTTGACAAGGCAGCAAGATTTCCAGGACCAGTGCTCAGGTCAGGGCCTGGCACAGGGACTGATTCCAGCTCAGCTTGCAGGAGGAACCTTTGTAACCCTAAGCTGCAGCTGCGCAGAGCTAAAAGGTCGCTCGTCCAATTGTTATTTTGAATTTGCAACCCAAGCTGACCTGAAAGTCCACAAATGGATCTTCTCCCACTTTCACTGAAGCATTTTTGCACTTTTAGCATTAGAAAAAGACTCACACATAGCTTAGAAACTTCTGCCCAAGAGCTGAGCCTGGTGCAGAGCAGAAGTAGACCTTGCCCTGAGGTTCAGCACCATCTCAGAGGCTCACAGAGTTTCAGGCAGAACCGGATTCAAACTTCACTGCTTCCACCTCTTCCTCCAGCAGCTCACAAAATATCTGCTCTCGTTTCCATCCCGTCCACTGGACAAGGACGGCTGGGTGCCGGGCAGCCTGGGTGGCCAGGCACAGGAACATCGAGCGCTCGCAGCCTCATTTAGCTGGCTTAGCTGGAGGGATTTCCTAAATGCCATGTCAGACGCCTCCCCAGCTGTTCGCTCCGTTATCACTCACCACCAACAGACCCAACAAGGAAGACAAGGTTATTAGCACATAACTGGGCTCCTCCAAGTGCCCTGCATATGCACATTCATGCAGAGTGAAATAGAAACCTCCGTTGTTTTCTCCCAACCACAACAATCCTAAAGGTCTCATGTACCCTGAGGAAGAGAGGTGACAATGACAGGGACAGTGTGTTCTTAAGGCCAGTTGGCAGAAGTTAACCCTGTTTTTTCCCCACTAGCACTGCACACTGTTCATGCTGCGAGTGGTTTCTCTCCTGTGCTGCTCCTCCCACCCCTCCATACACCTCTGCTTGCACACTGCAGGTAAACAGCATGCAACTTCTCTTTACAGTCACAGAAGGGATCTGGAGGCTCCGAGATGGCACAGTGCTAGGCAAAAATAGGACTGGTGCTTAAGGGGCCATCCTGCAGTCTCCAAGGGAGATGATATTCCCTATGGAAACACACCTGTATGCACCAGGAACCCAGCCTGCAGCACGGGGGCTCACAGGGGGGAGCTGCCAGCTGGTCCCACGTGCACATGGAGTCCATACCGAGAGGACAGGATGGCCACCAAGGTGCTGACAGCTCTCCTGGCCTGGCCCAGACAATGCCCTGAACTGCATCTTTTTGTCAATGGCCAGGCCAGCTCCCTGCAAGACACGGAAAGGGTGGTTCAAACAGCAGCTAACACCCACCCACCCTGCCAAGTCACCTCTGATTCCTCTTCCTGGGTCTGCAGCTCAGTCTCTCCCCCTCAAAAAATGACAATCTACCCAAGCAAAGATCTGCAAGGGCCTCAAAGAGCTTGAATGCCACATGGACATACTGGAGGAGTTCAGATCTCATGTGAAACACAGGTGCCAGCAGAGTCTGTAACTTGCAGAAAGGTGGAAGCAGCTGGTAAAGGGTGAGAAGAGGAAAACTGGTCCCATCCAGTGCAGGGAGGTGTCACAGCCAGCAGTCCAGACTCAGACTTTGGTGTACAAGTACACCCTTCCCAACCCCAACATCTTTACCCTCCCATTTCTTCTCAGCACCACAAACACTGTAAATACTCCTTCATTAGGCAGAGGGCACCACTTCCATCCCTTCTACATATTAAGGGTGGGATTTTCACCACCACAGCATGGGGCATCACTGCGCAGACAGAGGAGGGAAAGCAACGGGCTATGGCCACTGATGGCAAGATGTGAATCCACAGCACTGTCCCTGGTAGCGCATCCATTGTGGACACTGCCCTAATCTGCCTCCAGCTGCAGAAAAAAACCAGGAAAACTGGCAGGAGGAGGGGGCTGTCCTGGGCAGGCATCAGAAGCGAACTGACGGGAGCCAGGGCAGCTCTGCCCCACAGCCTGGGCCACTGGCAGTCACAGAGCCCTCACGGCTGCTCTGGGCTGAGATGCTCCCAAGCAGCCACAGTGTTATCAGGGTACTCCAGTTTGGATCTGTCCAGGTCTGAGCATTCTCCATGAAACTCAAGGTAGGAACTGGTTATGTAGATCTTTACACGTAAGGAAAGGAAGGGAAAGACTTGTATCGTTTTTCTTGTCCTAAAAGTTAAAACTTATCCTCTTCCTGCTTAGCAGTTCCTTACATCGGGGTGAGATGAACTGCACTCAGACACATTTAATTTCTCTCCACTGCCTAGGCAGGGGACCTACATGACCTGATGCAGAGTTGACTACCTGTGGCTAGAGACTTCTTGTTCCAATTCCTCTACTTTTGTTGCACAAAGGGCATCCTTGTTTCAGGTCCCTCTACAATAATAGTTCATTTCCTCAAAACCTAACAAGGTCCTTGGATGAACTGGAAGACTACTGAGCCACTGAGGTGGTCTCCCAGAAATAAACCCCTAAACTTGTGTGAATGGAAGTTACTATTTTATTCGCTCTAAATCAGGACTGGGGTGATGATCTCTCATCTTTTCATCTTTACAGAGTGATGGAAGAGGTTATAGATCTGAAATACTGCATTTAAAATTAGTTCATAAACCTGCCCAGAGGTGAGCATATAAGAGAAACATGAAGCAAGAAGCCCTTGAGAAGAGGGATGAAAGGAGAGAAGTGAGGGGCTGTCAACTCCGTACACCAACAAGAGGGGACGAGAGATGGCTAACCTGCAAAACCCCAGCTGGACTGACATGGTCCCCTCCAAATGCTGTGAACCAGCATGGAAACCCAGATGTCTACAGTTCCAGTATCCCCAGCAGTAAGAAGAGGGAACGCTGCCACAGAAGGTGTACAGCACACATTAAGAGCCGAGCCCTGAGCTGTCGGCAGAGCCGCACAGCAGCTCACATCAACTTACCGCCAGGTGAGTTTCGAGTAATGTGTTAAGGTGCTGGGGACTCATTAGGATTTCCATTCGCCACAGTTAAGGATTAAACCACCACTACTGCTGTCTTCAAGGTCATTTGCA